GGGCCCCAAAAGTGGAAAATCTTGTTCGTTGAGCCTAGATAGCCCAATGACCTGATCTTAAGGCCCGAAGACCTCTCTCTTACGAAGTGTTGGGTTTTACCGACCCGACATAACGTAAAAGGACTTTCAATGGCTCGTATACTACTGGTCCCCAAGGGTCCTTTGGTATTGCTAGTAAAGTCTACATTTTCATGCGAGGCGGGTCTGAGACCCCTCGTACCTTTTATCCCCAACCGGCTAATGGAGTTACTGAGGCCTTCGTGTCCTCGTTCTCTTCGGGTGTGGGACTACACATAGTCTGGGCGGTTGGAGAACGTGATTAGTACGGACGACGCCTACGGGATCGTTAGTATCGCTATAGACTAGTCGTTTGTGTAACGTGTGTTTGTAGCAAATAATCATGCTCAACAATAATCCAACGTCGCTGGTACCGAGAACTTCACACGTTGCAATTGTTTCAATGTACGAATTAGGAAAACATCGGGTTTTCCTAGGATATTTCAATACATACGGATTCGGAATGCACACAAAATTTTAAATGAACAATTTTTACAAGTATAGAAACAAACAAGCATACCTATGGATCTTCACACATGTTTGACTGTACTATTTTCAGAAAATATCGGATTTTCTGGTGTTTCTCAAAACATTACAAACATTGGATTTCAAACATTACTTATGAACTCACCAACATTTCATATGTTGACGTTTTTCAAAATACTTGTATTCTCAGGTAACAGATAAAGTGGAGGATGAATTGTACTCTAAGACGTTTTGCTGTGGTTTAATTTAGTATCAAATAGTTATTTTTGAGAATGTCATGTTTTGGAACAATGTAATGGATGTAAACGCTACCAGTTGTATCATTCCAAATGTTGGTGATGTATAATGTTATGTTTCATGTATATGCATTGTGATGGTATTCAATTGAGTCACGATAGCCCTCGGACGTTTCCGTCGTCTGGTTCGGGGGTGTGACAGGTTGGTATCAGAGCTTTGTTTATAGTGAACTAGCATATCTAGCCACACATGGATATGCAACTATAAATCAAAAAGAGGGACTAACATAACTCTGAACAAAACAAGTAAATAAAATACCCGTGCTTGCACTAGGAATAGGAACATAACGCCGAACCAAACAAAAATAATACTAGTGTCTCGGTTAATTCGGGAACTGTTCTTAGTGATACCAAGGAGTGAATGCAGCCTGATCAACTACATTCTCTCCAAAGTAAAACTAACACACATCCTGATGGGATCGGGATTTCTAGGGAATCTAAAACTATACCCTTACCACTGAAAAGAGAACGCCTACTTGATCTATGCGATAATTGTAGCATCCTAGGAATAACGTTAGCATAATTACGCACTCTCGCAGACCACATGGCTGGTTTTCATCACCCTGGAGACCCCTACTTCCCTAACCAGGGGAACAACGGATGGCTAGAGGAGGAGCCTGAGGAAGAGCCTGAGGAGGAGCCCGAGGAAGACCCCGAAGTGGAATCTGACGGGGAACCGGAGGCCGAAGTTGATGGCGAGCCGGCCGAATCAGAGGAAGATGAAGGAAGCCTCGAGGAGGATGCTGATGATGGAGAAGGGGGTGATTCGGATGCGGAGTCTGAAGTCATCAACCCCCCTTACCCGATCAGAGTACCTGCCTATCGCATAGGCCCCACTGGTCCTACACCGCCCTGGGGTATTGATCTTTGGAGATGAGCAGACAGCAGGGACAGCGACCCCGTACGGCATGTCACGAGAGTTCTTTGACCTGAGAGACGGAGGACCGGCCGATCGAGCCCTTCCAGTCGTGGTGAAGCGGTTGCGGAATACGGGCGACCTTGCCCAGGACACTGCTGATCAGGTGCGCTAGTTAAGGACTAGAGTCGAGCGTGCGGAGCAGGAGACGCGTGACATCCTTCGAGAGTTTCACATGAGGCAGGTTCGGTGGGAGTCCCGACTTCGGGACGCAGAACGCTTGGTGGCTCGTCTTCAGGGAGCATCCACATCCTCGGCACCACCTCCGGACACAGCTCATCGCAGTTAGGGATAGACGTATCTTAGTAGGTCGTTAGGAAATATGCTATGTACTCCGAACTCTATGTTTAAGTGACTACACTACTCATAGAGTCGTTATGCTGTCGAACTAGTATCACTCATGTATGCTCTTACGAGCAAAATTTTCATGTATCAAATGCGGATAATATTAATAAATTTTTACGTGTTTTATTACGATATTACAAATTGCTATGTGTTGAAAATTATTATTGATCGGTCAATGGTAGTAGT